GGAGAGAGAGAGAGAGAGAGAGAGTACAGTGTAGCGGATATATCGGTAGTGACAATGAAATTACGATAGAGCCTTTTTGAACTACAAACATGCCTGATTTAGGTAATGCAGACCTCTCGATTTCCATGCTCGAGGTTGATCGGAAATGGTCGAAAAAATTTGATCTTTCTTGAAGCCCCTGTTCTATCTAGATTGCTACATTTATATCGTGACATGAAGAAACATAAAATATTAGAGAATATTTAGATCATATCGCTTGTACTTATGCCACCATGACACCCTTGTCACTCATTAACTCACATCCATTTCGCACCACGCCGACCAGCCCTCCAGTCTGAATAGCTTCCGAACCGCCCCCAGCAAGTCGCCATTCAATCTCGGCCAGCCCCTCGAGCCACGTGATACGAGTTTGAGCGGGGACTTCAAGCTGTTGGAGTTGGTCTGCTAGTGCGGAGAGAATGTCGGCCAAAGCTAGACCCTTGGTTGTCTTGAGAGTTTGCACTGTGTTCAGACAGGAAGTGACATCGCTGGTGGAGAGGATGGTGGTCATAATTTCTTGAATATCGGACGGGTGTGGGGCGGCAATGCAGTCGTAGATTGTCGCATTGGTGACAGTCTCGGGCTTGGGACGAGGGGCTTTAGGAGCGTCTCTCATTGGCAGCGGGATACCTGAAAAGATAACATCGGTCAATTGGGCTGGATATGAGCAAGGACAAAGGACATGAACTGACTGCTGGCAAAGCATGCCTGGAGCACGTTTAGGGCTCGTCGCATGTCACCTTTGCTCAGGGTCACTAAACTATCAACCGCATCGGGCTGCATCCTGACCCCCTCGTTCTCTATCACTTTGTCGACCAAGGTCCGAATGTCAACTTCCTTCAAGGGACTAAACCGGAATCGAGTACACCGGGACAGGAGTGCTGGTGACAGCTTATGTGTGTAGTTGGCAATGACGCAGAATCGGGTATTGGATGTGTAGCGCTCCATGATACGGCGGAGGGCCATTTGTGCGGTGGAAGTCATCGCATCGGCTTCGTCTAGAATGATAAGCTTGAATCCTGCCAAAGGGGAGCCAGCAGTGCCTTGGGGGGCCATGTTGAAGATCTGTTTGGTGCCTTTTGGTATTCACAGTAAGCTTGTAGTTCAACTTGAGACTCCTAGGTCACAAACTTGCAAAGGTCTTGATTTGTTCTCTAACAACATCAATACCACGATCATCACTTGCATTCAGCTCCAACACCATCTGTCGCATGTTTTTGGTACCGTAGATCCGCCGTGCAAGGGCTAGGATAGTGGAGGTCTTTCCAGTTCCTGGAGGTCCATAGAGGAGGAGATGGGGAAGCCGCTTTATGAGAAGGTTAGTCAAAGCCTATAATAAGCCTATAATACACCTTTAAACAGAGGCATTTGTTACATTTGTCTCCACGAACCGGTTGATAGTTGCGAGAATGTCTTGATGGCCAGAGACATCATCCAGGCTGCTCGGTCGGTATTTCTCAACCCTGGGAAGCTGTTTAGTGGTAAAATTGCAATAGACACAATTTCAAATCTTACCATGGCAAATTGTCCTGAGCTTCGACTGGCAGATCGGCGACGGTTCTCTTTTTTCCACTGGCATTGTCGGAGCTAAATTGCACGTCCTTGGACGCATCCACGTCCATTTCATCCTCGTAGTCTGACATGATGAAGGTTCCTTCAGTGGACATAAAACAGTCAATATCAACAGTCCTATCAAGAAGAGCAGGTAAAATCGCGAAAAAAGTACCTAAATGTGTTGACGCGTGGAGCGCGTTAAGAGGCTCGGGGCGGAAAATCATGGAGCTTGGGGGGGCTCCACAGATGACATCCCTCAACTGCCTAACCTCCAACGGGTCAACTTGTCCCCTTCGCGGTCTCTTTGATTGAACTTGCTGTTTAATTTATTTGACGCATTCACAATGCCTGTATGGTTTGATTTCTTGATTTGTCCCTGAAGCCACCTTGTTAACCTTCAACGCAGGCATACCACTCCATCTTCCTGGAGGACCGCGATGTCCCCGTGATAGGTATGAGAACTCCTATCATGTCTAGCGCAGGAGTTCCTAAGCTATGAATCGACATTGAAAAAACCAAACTGACCATACAATGTCTCCTGACTAGGAAACTTCCCTATCCTTCCCCTCCGAACCCGTACTCGTGGCCCCGCATACACATTGCCCCCGCTTCCCAACACCGACGACCTCGATGTGTCGCCAGAAAGTGAATC